CAACGAGAAGCCTGCTTTAAACCATACAGAGATTTATTAAGCTTTAATATACAATTTTTATTTAAATTGACTCCCTCAGGAACTTCTATAAAAATATCTTCTTCTAGATATTCATTAAGAAAAGCTGTTTTTACATCAAATTGCTGTATTTTAAACTTATACTTAGCTGCAATAGACAAAACAATTCTAATAGAATCATACCTAGTCGTAGGAGAAAGTATTTCCTGATAGTCAACATCTTTGATCTGATTGAACCCACGTGCTCATAAGCGAGCTTTATAACATGTTTCATTATTCTCATTTTTCTTAATCGTAAACACCCACTTTGTAGTAAGTGTTCTTTCATCAGATCTTTCTATCACACTCCATGTGTTGTTTTCTTGATGTGCAGCCAATTCCTCCTTGATAGCTTGACACCATTAATATTTCTGTGGACTTTGTAATGCATCGTCATATGTTTGAGGCAATGACAACTCAACCAAGTTCGCTTCAAAACGCCTATTATTTCTCGGTCTCAATGTTATGTTCGAGTGTGGTATATTTTCTATTTCTCGAGACGGTTCATATGCTGGGTCATCACTGTTACAGCTTAAGAAGCTATTATCAGATTCCGTTGTTTGATTTGTTTCATCTAATACATTAACTGCATTTACTGTTCCTGTTTCATTATTTTGCATAGCAATATCTTCATCGTCCATAATGCTAATTTGTGCAATATTCTTCCTTATTTCTGGAACCAAATCTTCATCAAATATTATATTCCTTGATATTTTTATGGTTTTCTTATTTGCATCATACATTCTGTAATTGTTATTGTCATAACCGATTAGTATCATTTTTTCACTCTTCTTCTCAAACTTTGTCCTCAACTGATCTGGTACATGAACATATCCAACACTGCCAAACACCTTCAAATGACCTAACTGTGGTTTTGTACCGTACCATAATTCATATGGTGTTTTCTCTGGAGTCTGACTGGAAGATGTTCTGTTCAATATGTAAACAGCACATTTCACCGCTTCTGCCCACAGATATAATGGAATGTCTCTTGCATACAACATGGAACGAGCACTCTCCACGATTGTTCTATTCTCTCTTTCTACACGTCCATTCTGCTCAGGTGTATATGGAGCGGTAAGCTCGTGAACTATTCCTTCTTTCTCCAGATAATCTTTAAAAGCTTTGTTGACATATTCTCTTCCATTATCAGTATGTAATATTCTAACACCATGCATATATTTATTCTTAACAATATTGTTCTTGAATACTTCTATAACATCACTTTTATTTTGAATAAAGAATACATGCCTGAAATTTGTAGCTGCATCCTTGAATAACAAAAAATATCTCATTCCTTGAACTGAAGCTTGCTGTACACTAAGTCTCTAGGCTGTAGTTCCCCTCGTGTAGATTTTTGAAATGGAAACCTACACTGCTTTCCATATGCACATGCCTCGCAAACGAAATTTTGTTCATCATTTTCACTAATTTTCAAACCTTCTACTGCACTATTAACACACATACTTTTAATTTCTTTTGTATTAATGTGTCCTAAGCGTTCATGCCATATCTTAATATCACTTTTATTGTTTTGAACTAGGTTACAAGTATTTGAAACTATTGTTTTTATGTTTAACTCATATAGATTATTTTCTCTTATTTTTGCACTCATCACTATGTCATTCCCGTTGTATATTAAAGCAACAAGGTCTTTCTTTATTGTTAGAATTTAATGCAAAATGGACTGTGACCCAAAAGGTATTGAAAGGAAAAGAAATGGGTGTATGATCTTGTCCAACTTTCGGCGAGCAAATAACAAAACCTCACCCACCTTGATTCCAAACTGTCAGACACGTAACTCCGATGGTAGCTTGGCTTGGCGGGTACACACGATGCTCAGCTTTGGTAGCTCACTGCTGGACAAGTCTATACATGGATATGCTATGACCACGGGTCTAGACACTATATGGGTGGTGGAACGTCCACATTCAGTTCACACACGACGCGGTAAACAAACGTTGTGCTCTCTGCAGCGCGTGGCAAGCGAAGTAAAAGTTAATCTACCCACCAATAATTGGACAATAACTGAACATTTATAATAGAGTAATTTTGTCGTATAATAACTCCTTCTGAAAATAAGTTCCTCCGCAAACTAGGAACATATAATACATTGTGTAGTTCACTGTTAATCCACTGTCCATTTACATATCTCTTTATCAACACTTTACCAATGCCCGATACTTCTAAAACTTGTTGATTTCCTAATGTTAATGATTTCTGGTCACATTCAAACAACTCCACAAAGAAGTCTGTTCTATAAGTCATGTGTGCGGAGGCACCACTATCTAATATCCACGAATTCTCTTCTGTGTTATAGCAATCAACTTCCACATTAAATGCCAACATGTCTGAAGGTTGTGTAGGCTTTCTTTGTTTACTTTTCTTCGGCAAACGACATTCCTTTGCAAAGTGCCCTCGCTTTCCACAATTATAACATTCAAACCTGTGCTTAGTGTTTTTGTTTTGATTCAAACCACTCCCACCAGCTTCAGACTCATTTAGCTTTGTTTGTTTCTTCCAACCTTTGTTAACAACAAGGCCAGCTGTCTCTTGCTCTTCCACCGACGCTAAACTTGCTTCTTCGTCTAATAAACGAGCCGTCAAATTATTGAGTGTTTGTTGTGTGGGATCCAATGACATCCATGCTTGGCGCAGATATCTATACTTCAGGGGCAATGTTCCAAGTATTTTAGTAATGATTGCCATCTCACTAACATTCTCGCCACTTTCTTTCAGATGCTTTGCTAAGGTTTCAACTTTTGAAATATGTTGAGCCACGCTGTCACTTTCCGACATTTTGTATTGATAAAACTTCTCATGAATTAGCATTTTACACATTTCACTTTTTTGCTCGTATATAGATTCAAGTTTTGTCATTATTTCTATGGCGGTTTCACAATTTTCTACTAATGTGATTTGTTTGAAATCCATAGAAGATGTTAATATAAACATCGCCATGCCATCATTTTTCAACCACTCAGCAGTATCTTCCTCTGGTTTTGGCGTATAAATATCTATTCCTTTTGCCTTCAAAGCACATTTAATTTGGAATTTCCACTGTCTGAAATTATTTCCGTCAAATTTTTCTAAATTCATTCGTGACGGATCCATTTTGATTGCTTGAGGTTAGGTTCTTTTCAACAATGAAATTTTTCACTTTCTGGTGACTTTCTGACACTTTCTCTTTAGTCGCAGAATATTCTGGGCCCATAACCTATTGGGTTATGGACTGGGAATTCTAATTAAAGAACTGGTTTCTTGAATAATGTTATTTTATTTTCTTGCACAATTCTTTATACGGTAAGAACACAGGCCACGGACAAAAAGGTACAGTATAGCGCCACCTACAGTATTTCTTAGAACTAAAAACTAAATGTAGCCAGTGTTAAATTTTCATAACTTAATACATTTTTCACAGCACTGTATGCCTTGAATTTGTGCTTTGACAAAAACTCTTCAATTTTTAGGAAGTTATTGGCGTGGTTCGCTTAAGAAAAGGTCACACAGATTTTAGTCGAGTTATTTTACGCTTTTTGATAGCGACAGATATCAAAAAGTGTTAATCGACTTTCTCGCTATCTGCAGCTTCAGGCTAAACGTAAAATTTTCAATGCTCTTCTAGAAACTGAAGAGCTTGAGCTACAAAACACATGGTATAACACAGGTGAAAATAATTGAGATTCCCCCGGTTACACTTCAGTATCGGGTCCAAGTTCGACACCGGGTCCAAGCTCAACACAGGAACCGGGTCCACGCTCAACACAGGCCCCGAGTCCAAGTTCGACACGGACATCGGGGCCAAGCTTGGAAGATTTGCATTTGATCGATAAACAGACAGAATAAGCATTGAGAAACAAAGAAGATACAATAAAAAACTGTATTAGTTATTTAAGTAGAAAACCGGCACAGCTTCGGTGCCAACAAACATCTCTTCTCGTCTCCACATTGGATATCTCCGCTTTCGTGGACATTTTGGTTCTCACTTCGACGCCAAAGGAATGACTACGGATGATGATTTGTGAAAACGTAATTTTCAACATGCTGGAGAGACACTTGCAGAAGTGTGGAGAGAAATGAAAATTGATAATTACGACGTTTTGGCGGAGTATAGACAGCCCGAAGATAGCATGCAGGATCCAGCAGAACCAAATCTGGTGTAGAACAGCGTTCTCGTCCGTGAATCGCAACATTTCTTACAGGTTATAAAATGCGCGGATGAATCCTGCTGTTCACTACCGAGAAGTGCATTGAAATCTGTGTTTACGAATACTTTCTTTCCGCCACCTTGTCCAATACTTCAAACCCCAAGCAAGCTTGTAGTACCCAGTTTGCTAGACAAAGGAACATCCTGCAGATGCCTTGCGATTTCTTTTATCCATCTCTACAATCCGACCTAAAGAAAAAAGGATCTTAAGCTCCGTGCTCTGATTGGATGACATCAGCTGGAAAGCCGCTATCATTGGTTGCTGTAGGCTTAGGTGAGAACCCCGTTTGTAGTGCAGTGAAGTTTATGATTGTGTGATTATTTATGTTCATGGTTTGCTTCATTCCACCATTTTAGTGCTTCGATCTTTTAATTTGACTAGTGAAAAAAGCTGATTATAAATACTCTTAAGTTTTTAAATAGTTATAAGCAATTACGGAAGAAACAGGGAGAAAAAATGAGCTTGAGGCATTAATTGATCAGCATGGTAGCATAAAAGTTTCGATAACAAAAATGTATAACACGTTTTCAGACCTGTCGTATGAATTACTTAACGAAATAATTATTGTAAAAGAGGAACGTCTTCGATATTTGTTTTCGCCATACAAAGATCTCAATAATCAATTATTACACTTCAAAGACGTAGATGACGAAGACTTTGACAGTGTCGAGGAAAAATATATGCAGACGTTGGATTACATTAAAATTTTGTATTTGCCGTATCAATTGTGCAGAAATGAGAAGCATTCACAAGCAGTTATTATTGGACGCTGAAGTGCGTTGGTTATCTCGTGGCAAAGTTGTGACGCGTGTTTTTGAGCTGAGAGATGAGATCAGAATGTTCTTTTTGAAGAATTCTGTACACGGCGTCAGCAAATATGCTGATCATTTCAATGATTTTGGATTGCTTACAATGGCAGCATATTTGGCTGATATATTTAGTGCCCTTAACGAGTTGAACTTAAGTCTACAAGGGAGAGATACCAACATCTTCAAGGTCGATGATAAAATTGAAACGATACTAAAAAAACTTGACCTATAGATAAATCGTACAATTAAAAAAAAAACTACAATCACTTTACAACCCTGTCAGCGTTTTTGGAGTCCTCTGGTGAAGCAATATTGCCTGCCAGTACAAGTACAACATGAAATGGTGACACATCTCCGCACTTTGAGGTCTTCGTTTCGGGATTATTTTCCAGTACCCGACAAAAATAAAAATTGGATATCAGACCCTTTTAACACAGATGTTTCTGATATTACTGGCTTGACAGCGGCACAGGAAACCCAATTAATTGAAATATCCTGTGATTCAGCATTGTAACGCAATTTCAAAGAATCTTTCCTATCAAGTTTTTGGGTGAATGTAAAGACGGATAATAAGGAGATATCGGACGAAGCACCTGAAACATTTACTCCTTTTTTCAACCATATACCTATGTGAAAAGGCATTCTCTACTCTTCTTTATACAAAAATCAAATACAGAATCAGATTACAAGTAGAATCTGATTTGAGATTACAACTTTGTAGCAACATCAACCCGAATATCCCAGATTTGGTTGCAAAAAAGCAACACCAACCTTAACATTTTTTTTTTTCATATTTTTCATAATAAACAGTTATATTTGTTTTTTTTGTATCTCTAATAATAATCTAATCCGTTTTTTTCCGTGTCCTTGAAAACTGTGCTTGATTTCCTTAGGGTCCGAGGACTAAAAAGGCTTGGAAGCGCTGATTTAGAAGTTCGATTACAAAAGATCATAATTAATTTGCTCTATACAAAAATTTATACAAGAATTTATTGATTTAGGTCATGCTTCTAAAATTGATATTAATCAATATGATCTCAATAAAGAACCAGTCTATTTCTTGCCTCGTCATCCAGTAGTAAGAATGGATAGAAAAACTTATAACAGTAAAAAAGAATCACTTATATTTTTACATGGACTTGCGTAATTAATTTGCGATTTGGAATTTCAATATAAAGTGAAAATTTTATGTATGTACTTATATAGCTTTCAAGTTCCCAATAAATTCGCATTATGGTCACCCTACTGTATATTACATACTTTGACAAAAAATTAAAAAACTAATATCTCGTCAATAAAATGACGTTAATTAATAAATTATATGCCAAATTTTAGTCACATGTTGTGCAGTTTTTACAACGTATTTTTTGTATATAACATTATACCAAGTGGTAGTTATCTACATGGGTTTATAAGATCACTCAATTCAGCAAATTTAAAAAGCTTTGATTGAACATAACTTTTTAACTATAAACATTTGTGGTATGAAATTAATTTGTACAAACATATTTGTCGCAGAATATCTCCATCATCGTTACGAAGATCGTTTGATTTAGTTTGTTTTTTTAATTGCTAGTTACTCGATTACTTAATTACTCGATTGTAGAGAGGGCGTGATCATCGATACTTTTATCGATGACTTTGACAGTTCGTTAACAAAAAGCAAGTTGCCGCCATTTTGGCAGACATTCTGTTTCCGATCGTCGAGGAGTAAAGACATCCGGCGACATGACGCTGATCTCGTTATATTTTCGTATGAAAAGTAATAAAATGGAATAAGTCCACATTGGTATACACGCCAGCAGTGTTATTTTAAAGATAGTCCTGAAACTACCCGCCGACATATTTAAAAGTTATCATGTATTTTGTAAGCATATTATCGTATTTCTAGAATCACTCAATCTTAATCCGTCAGGATTGAGTGGTCCATTGAAACTATCGTAGAATCCTGGATTTACCTTGAAGTGTCTTGATTTTTTTGTAAAATAATGTGACAAATTCTGTACAATATTTGATATGAAAATTTTATTCACAGTAAGTATTTCCTGAGATTCGGCTTGTAGCTATTTTGTCTAATGTCTGAATTGAGTGATCCACATATTGGGCAATATCTTCGATCGCTTAAGAGTGACAAAGGACAATGTCCAGCCCCCATACATTTTTCGCCTAAGAACCTCTAAGCATGTACTATCACTTTTCGTATTCTAAAGTATCTATATTTACGTCTAAATACATGTTTAAGTAACGGACACTTCTAAGAAATGTATAAATCAAAAAATATATTTTGGATTTGAGGTTATAATTTTAACAATTGTAGCGTGCGGTTAGATTCTTTTTAATGTTCGTTTTACTTGCTTTTTGTAGGGAAATGTATGTCTACTTTACTTTAAATGTTGATTGTTGTTGTTTGCTTTAAAAGGTTCTGTAGGTTCTGTATCGGGAGCATGTACTTACCAATCTTGGAGCAACCCAGTGTTGTATGCACTGAAGGATCTGCTCATCTTCTAATACCATGCAACCAGAAGCTGAACCGCAATTAACACAAAATACTTCAACACACCCAGTTTCCATGTTAATGTCCGTTAAATAAATGCCAAGTCGTCGTCTATAGTAGGTCGGTATGCCGTAAATCACTGCCGGAGGTCGATATTATAAGACGAAATCAGTCCTTAGTTCAAGCCAAGTCGTTATTTTATAACTAATATTCACAAGACACAAGAAATCGTACAAACAAACTTAAGCGACGTAAACACAACGCGAGTATGAAAGCGATTGTCAAACAAAACTTCAAAATTGTCAAACGTATGTAAAAGAGCGCTTCCAGCCGCTTAAAAATCTACGAACGTTTTGAGTCTCGTTTCAATGTCAAGCGCTTTAAGTGTTCATTGGTTGATTATACATCAAATTGTGCATAGATCCTGATTTGTCAACTTATTAAAATATGGTGGCAGCGTTTATTGAAGTTTATCAAATGTATTGATATTACTTTTTAAAGTAATTACAAAAATGGGCAGTGTCCGTTTGATTTTAAAAGCTGATATATTAATCATAAAATATGATAAGAATTATGATATACAAGATATTCTTAGAGGTTCATAGGCTAATTTGGACATTGTCCTTTATTGATTTCGCTTATGAGTTTTGACAAATTTTGACTAAATGTACGTTTTGGTTTTGTTGAAAACTGAAAAAGGATCACTCAGTCCAGATGCACATCAAAATAGTAATACTATTAAATACTTAGTGTCCTACACACGGAATGGTTTAATTAACTATATTTTAACTGGTTTTGGCGGCAGAACAAGTGATGTAACTGCCATGGAAAATTGAGATTTTTTAGAAACTTTGGAACCTATTATCGTAGCTGACAGAGGTTTTAAACATGAAGAACAAGTCCTCGCTCAAACGGAAATAAAATTACTGAGACCACCTAGTGTAGTTGCAGATTACAAATTATCAAAGGCAGAAAGAAGTTCGTCAAACCAAAATTATTGCTAGCTTACGAATACAAGTAGAAAGAGTCATAAGACGTATTAGAGAGTTCCACATGTTAGAACAACATGCAGTTATAAATAATAATATACTAAAGGTAATTGATGATTGCATTATAATAGCCGGTGCTCTCATAAACTTACAAGATACCCTTATAAAATTAATCCAGTAACTTTGTTTTCAGTAAAGTTTAAATTTTAATTTTCTTACATTTTGTTTGTATACCTGTCTGTAAGAAGAGTGATGTGAATAAATCAGTTAAGTGTTTATATTAAGTAAAGGAAATTAAATTAAAAATAAAACAATGCCAAATTAAACAATAAATATTTTATTTCAAGTACCCGCCCATGTTTATGGATAAATATTATTTATCCAGAATATTGATAATTCATTTAACAGCTTATTTACTCGTTCATATTTTCTGTTATATTCTACTAAAGTGATCCAGACATGATGTGAAGTTTCATAATCTGGATTAGCTACTCAGAAGTAACATTTTTCGATTGTAGTCGTAAACATTTGTAGCTGCACCTGTGTTTTTTTAAGTTTTTTCCATTTTTTATATAATTATCTTTTGTATTTTCATTTGTTGGACACATTATCTCTATAGTGGCATTCTTCATTATTCCATCAGGAGTAGCTGCAATCATGGGGTATTCTTTGGAAAGGAATAGTCCACAGGTCTTAATTTTCCTTTTCAGTTTATCTTCAACGATCTTACGGATATAAACTTCTAAAATTCTACCCCATTTCATGGCTTTCGTTTCTGAAGCCTTAACCCCCATAATTGCAGCTACTAACGTTCCATCTGAAGTTTTACAACGGCTAACTTCATATGCCTTTGACGCTGTTATTCGGTCATATCTAAGTTCATACCACACATGACTTTTACTCTGTGTCCTTGTTGCTTTCTCGATTAAAGTTAACTTGTTAATATCTAGCTGTTCCTTCAACAAATCTAGCAGCTGATTAACATTATTTATTACGTTTTTATGTACTTGTAGCATGAAATAGTGCAGTAAAAATTTTATTAGTTCACAACTCTTGATTTTCCTCTTTTTAGCCTCTTGATGAATATATTTATCCATTTGTACCAATTTTAATGAAGTAAATACTATATTATAAAATTAATTAATATTTTTCATTTGTCCATCATAGACAATGACTATCATAACTCACTTTTTTTAACTAGTTGGTCCACAGTATGTATTTAAAACATGTGCCGACTTAAGATAGCACTGGTTCCTTCCAGTGGCACTCTATTGAGGTGCAAGAAGATTCTTCACTGCGTCTATGGATCCACATTAGGAAGCCACTGCATGTTTACAGCCTCCAGCTGCAGCTGCTTAATCATGACAGTGGCAGCTTACAATATAACTGTTGTTTCATCTACTACAAGAGTCATCGTATAAAACTTAGCTCTTACTTTATGTTCGGGACACATTCTACATTTTATTGTGCAAATATCGGATTGACGGAATAGTTGTACATATCCAACAGCGTCATCTCCGTAGGTTTCCCTTGAGGAGCAGTAAAAAATGAAAAACCTTATAGTGTATTTTTGCATGTTATACATAAAAAATTCTATTTTATTAGCTTTAGATGAGTATACATGTAACGTCTTACAAAACGGTTAACATAACCTAAAATGTTAACCGTAAAATAGACACACATTTAATTACTTCTAAATAAGCAATAATTTGGTCACATATACTCGGTGGAACAGAACGACCGACACTCCCAAGGCTAATTGAGGGTTTAGTTACTTATTTAAAATGTATTTAAAAAGAAAATTCAAAAACAATTGCGTGGGAACAAAATACTAATTCGAAAAAAAAAAAGATAATTTGAATTCGTCCCTGGTTATCAAAGGCAAAGCGAACCGGACTCCACCTACTCGCCGTGCGTGCCCCGCTTGGCGGCTTTTTTGTTCTGTCGGCGTTAGCGCCTTTGTCGCGATTTTCTACTCAGTCACAGCCGGACATTTGCGCGTGAGACACGTAACTGCATCGCTGCCACCTTACCGCTGCGAAGCAACTTTTCCGTCGATTATTCATTTGTAGTTTTAGTTTATTCAGTTTTAAGTTAACTAGTACCTAGTGTGTGTGTGCGTGTGTGTTTAATTTAGTTTAATTAAGTTGAAAATGTCTTTAGAAACAAGCGATTACTTGAACCTAATTTTATTATGCGTAGTGTGGCTATAACGCAAGGGCAGCCTTACGTTTGTACCGTGAACGTTTTTCTCCTCCACACCCTACAAACCCTCGCGTTGTTACAAGCGCACTTAATAGGTTTGGTGGGAGCATTTGAAGAGCTCCGCCGGCAAAATAACGAAAGTAATGTACTTTCGCGCGTGCTCCGGCATACAAAAGAGCATGCTCCGCTCTATCTGCAGAGAGGAGGTGGACATTTTGAGCATCGACTCTAGGTAAGTAATTAAATTAATACTAATAATTATCATTAAACTTAGTTCTTATTAAATGGCCGGTTGTAATCTGCACACAACGACATTACGTGTAGGCATAGTATAACTCTGTGAACGCTAACGCGTGAGCGTGTGTGCGTTAAAGGGCTGTCAACACTTAGATTTTATTTTTTTTTAACACCAGTTTTTCGTCTTATCTATTTTTAAATATTTGTTAAATAAAATGAACATTTGCATGCTACCTAACTTGAAACTCTCAGCTGTGTCGGTCGTTTTGGGGCTCCCTGTATGTACCTACTGTTAGCTACTTTCATTACAGTTTTCATGTTCTTTAATTCAGGAGTCAAAAAATCAGGATTGTTTTTGAAGAATAATCCGACCATGATTGCGTCTTCTCTAGGGAGTTCAGTTAATTCTTTTTCCCCTGCAAGTAACCCTTGTTTGTGTCTCTCTCACTTCCGCATAATTGACTGTCACTTCCTTGTCAGACCGGTATGAGTCCACCATTTTGTAGAGTTTCTTGGAGTTGTTTTACAGCCGGCCATCATGCGTTGTTGTTGTTCTGAGCCTGTTCTCTGGCTATTTAGTCCATTAGGTCATAGAGGGCGGCCTCTGTTCCGCACTGTGGTCTGAATCAGGAACTGAGAGTTGGGAGTAGGTGCCATTGAAGTCTACCCATCATGAGTTTCGTTTCTTCTAACGTTTTCCCTAGTGCAGATAGAAGTCCTAAGGAGGATTCGGTAGGATTTGGGGTATGTGTTGTCTTCTTTGTTAAGTTTGCGCAGGATGACTACATGAGTTGATTTCCAGAGCTTGGGAAAGTATGACATGGCTAGGCATTTGTTTGCGATCGCCATGAACAACCTCTTTTCGCTGAGAATTGCTCTTGCACAGATATCCGACGTGAATCCGTCCATTCCTGGTGCCTTTTTTGGATTCTGCGATTTTAAAACAGCCTCTATTTCGGACTCTGTGAATGGGGGATCATCCGATTTCAATCTGCGCTCTTCTTCTGAGTTCCTGCTTGCGTCAGGTTTCTGAGTTGTATATGGTATGGGTTGTCAGTCGATACAGAGTCTTTGGGGTAGAATGTCGATACAGAGTCTTTGGGGTAGAATGTTTCGGCCAGTAGTTACGCCGATTCATCGGGCCTGAGGGTGCTGCCTTCGATGTTTCTTAATAGCGTGTCCTCTTGTCTACCGCTTGTGTTGCGAAGTACTGTGTATTTTCCGTCCCACACTTTCCTGTTTACCGCAAAACTCTTTCCAGCTCTTCGTCTGGGCCTCTGTGCTTTTTTCAGCATATAGCTGTTTGGCGTTTCGATATTCTTCCAATACGGATTCTGTTCTTGTTGGGGCTGCGTTCTTTATCCTACGTTTCTTACTAAGAACGTCTTTTTTTTAAGTTGTTGATCTCTTCGGACCACAAGGGGGGGGGGGCATCACCTTTCCTTTCCTCCTGCCTGTCTTTGTTATTGATTTCTCACACAAATAAACCGAGACCACTCCAAGCCTGAGAGCTCCCGCTACCAATATAACAACACATTCCGTCTCAGTCACCAGCTGCGAGTCGTAAATAACCCTCAATCGAATACAATTATTGCTGTTTGTACTGGTTTTTGCCTGTTGATAGTGCATTATATAACCCTAGTGCCTGGATATTGTTTAACAATTCCTTTGGATCCCACGTATAGTTCCTGCACCAGTGCCATTGCAATATCCTTCTCTTCTGATCCCTGGAGTAGCTCCACTGTGGCTTACTTAAACCTGCGTAAGTTCGCCTGAAGTCTAGTGCTGGAATTGTTTCTTTGGGTGACTGAGCTGCTGTCTTGTGGGGCAACTTTAGCAATAAATTATTTTGGAACGCGCTATATTGTCCCAAGTCTGCCATTGTGGGCAGGTTTAGCTGAATGCTAGGTGTTGACGCAATTCTGGTGTGTTTACCTTGGCCCTTTCACAGATTTGCATTGTGGTAGGTTCCCTGCTTCTCAGTTAAGACAGTCTTGCCAAGAGTGCTTTTCTCCGCAGTAATTACAGAGTTGCTCTGTCTCTCAGCTCTGTTTGGTGCGGCCGAATCCGAGGCAATTCGCACACTGTATTAACGGTGATTGATCCTCCACTTAGCTTTTTTCGAGACCAATGTGAACAGTTCCCGCCTCCAGCATGCGTTTGTGCAGAATTGGATGGCATAGTAGCGCGTTGCTCGCTCTTTTGCGGTACCCGACTCTTATTTCTTTCTCCTCCGCTCTCAAGTTTTCGAAGACCTTGGTGTCCTGTGACCTTAGGTTTCCGATGAGATCCTCGTCCATGTGCTACACTAATATGATTTTTATTTGGGGGGACGAAACAGGCGACGACGTTTGACGTCGTCGCCTGTTTCGTTCCTGTTTATTTTTAAGTTTGTTATGTTTTCTAATTGATTTTTAGGGTCTTTGTGTCTTTTCCCTTTCGCAGCTTAGCACGACCTTGCTGTTTTTCGCCTTTCTTATTCTCTTCACTTCAACTCCGGTATTCTTAAGATCCAGCGTCTCTCTTATTGCCTCTATCACCTTATCTCCACTTTTAGTCGGGTCGTGGGATAGAGCTTTGTTACAGCAGCGTATGTTAAGGGTCCTGCTTGTGCACGTCGGGTCGGTTGAAGCGCTACTCCTTGTTTGAAAGAGGAATTTATCCATGTAAAAGATTTTTGCAGGGCTTTTAATTGACTCGCCACTTCGGACACGTCTGCCCTCAGAGGGTTTATGACGGTTTATAATATTGACAATGAAATTCAATGAGAGATTAACAACTATTTATTAGCATTAAAACGAAATTAAATAATTTCTTTAACATGTTAGATAAAATGTAAGAAACGCTACTACAGCCAAAGAAATGATAGACAATGTACAAAAGATTTTCGAAAGAAAGAGTATCAATTTTATACCTAAAGAAAAAGTTGCTAACCTTAAAACATGCTGTCAAAGATGATATGTCTGAACACATCACACACAAGTTTAACACAATTATAAGGGAAAAAGAAACTGGATGTAAAATGTACGAAAAGGATAAAGTCTATCATTTGTTGTTAACAATACCAGAATGCTATGAAAATACCTTATCAGCG